AATCACTTTTGATTTTGGTTTGAAATATCGCAAAGTAGCAAATCCCACTGAAAAATATTCTATCGAATCACTTCTCATTTGGCCCAGCTTTAATAATTTGAAACAAAGACTTCAGATAAGTTGATTTAATTGATGATATGAATAAAAATTATGTGGGACTGATCATCTTTTATTCATATTTTTCTATAGGGTCTGCTCAAAATAGGCTACCAAATAGTACAGATAAGGCAAGTGACATCTATAATCAAACTAAAAAGAAATATGACATTTATTCATTTCTGAAAGTAAATATCAGAGTAAAAATATTTTCTCAGGTTAAAGATGTCACATGGTACAAGGGATAATATTAATCTGGCGCCGTGACAATATACAATAACTTTATAAACAATAAGAGATTATAAACACAATATAAGGGAGAGCTTAATCTCTACCACATGGCTGACTACAGTCCAAACCTTGTTAGTTCAACATTAAACCTAGTCTGGGCCTTACATGTATTTCTTATCTGACATATCTTGTGGCACGCCCTAGGTTGAACATCCGTGATTATTCGGCCCTTTAATGGTGGCCCATGGCAGCACATGGATTTCCATACGCGTTTTATTAATAACTGATAGTGAGAATTTGCAACCAATGAAAGCATAGCACGGAAGTTAAACCCAATCACAGCAATAAGAACATTCAGATTAATAAATGAAAGCCGTGGTATGGGGTTTAACTTGTTGAACTACTACCTTGTAAGAGAATGGATATAGTTCCACAACAATACCATACATGTAATGTTATTTGTCTCTGGCAATTTCATTCAATGAATTCCTTCACATTTCTGAATACTATGAAACCACCCCTTAAGCCAATGATTCTTTCAAACTCATGCAGTTTTTCACCATTTGAACACTTTTCAAGTGATTAGGTTAATAAGTAAATGAAAGGTAGAGACTGAGATATACCGCTGTCTGACGGTATCAGAGAAAGTTAGAAATGAAACTTATGTTCCCAAAAGCATTGATAATTAGGCAGCATTAAAAGTGAGTAGGCGCAGCACCCACCAGAGATTTTGAACACAGGCTTGTACCCAACTGAAAATCCATTTCACCCATTTGAAAATGAAGAAAATCATGAAAAATTGGCATATTTTGACCAATTTCAGTTTGAATTATGAAAATGAGAATTCTGCACCCACTTGAGAAAAAATCCTTCAGGGAACACTAAGATAAAACTAAAACAGGTGATCAAAAATCAAATTAAATGAATATATAAGCAGCTGTATCTCATACTTAGTGGGTTTGGGGTAGATATCACCTCATCATATCTGAGGAGCGGGCAGGATATATTGTATATGTCCCGCTCCAAGCCAAATGCGGCAGATATATTCATCCCACTCCCAGGAATTTTCAAAAGATTTTGAAAGTTTAATAAATTTTAAATTTTGTAATTTTTAAAAAGTTTAAATGTTACAATTGTCATTTGAAAAAGGTGGAAATGTTATATCTACCCCAAACCACCTCAAGTATGAGATTTATAGGATATCCTATGATTTTGAGGAATATCATTTTTATCTACGAGGTGATATTGATGCATGAGAGAGCAAAGCGAATGAGGGCATATATCAATATCACCGAGTAGATTACAATGATATTCTGAAAAAAAATCATAGGATGTTCTTATTATCCTACACTTACAAGGAGTGTACAAAATGTATAATATCATTGCAAAATGAATTTCATGCCAAATAGAGTCAATTTGGCGGGAAATAAACAAGCGGAGTATATCGTCACAATATCCTCCGCATATTGGGGTTTCTGGAGTATATCGTCACGATATCCTCCGCCCGGAGTATATCATCACGATATCCTCCGGTTATTCATTTTGCCAATAAATATCAAATTTGTTTTTTGATGTTATTATACATTTAGTACACTAAGTGTAGGATAAACACCAGTTATGTTTGGTCAGTTTTGGATATAGGGTACATGTATATCCATCGGGAAATATTTACATCTCCCTGAGGGACCTCAGGATATACCCTATATCCAAAACCTCTCAGTGCATTATTGTAGGGAAGTTAAAGTCTTCGACAAAATAAGTCAGTTGTCACATATACACACAGACATGGGCGTAGCGCTATATTTCTAAGTATTACATACCTAGCGAAGCATTTGTATGGAAGTCAATGGGAAAGTTAGCGAGCTATATCCACCGATATTGCCCGATTACCCCGATATAGCCCGCTTACCTCGTTTTGATATTAGATTTCTTTAAAGATGTTGATTTAAGAGCAAAAAAGGCTCCAAAACTTAATGAAATATGTAGTTTGGATGTTCATTTATGTCTGTGGATTATATTTTATACCACAAACACTTTATAAATACCTGAAATTTGCAATAAAAGTGCCCAAAAATTGTTGTTTCGAAATTCCCCATTTTTCCTGTATCGCGCTAGTCACGTGACCATTACACGTAGCAGTCAATGTACAGATATTACAGTACATATAATATGTTCAATATGGCAAACATCAGCGATTCTGATTCCCGGGTTCTGGGAAATGACTATATAAATCGGCGAGAGGGTGTAATTTGAATGAAGACAATTTAAGGATATGACGGAGAATCAACTAAAAATGTGAGTTCTGGAATGAAGACCCGTTGCCATTGACTGATACTATTATCATACTCAGTTTGAATCTAGACGCGGAAAACAGATTATGAAAACAGGTTTTCTGCAAAGTTATCAAATTTAGAAGATATGGATCTTGTTTTTGAGTGGCTTAACAAGCATTTAGATACCAGACTTGGCGCTATCTCTTGTCAAATACATGCAGTGGACTTGCAGTAAATTGGCCATTGCAAATTGCAAAATCAGATCGTCAAATTAATCGCTTCGTTTTTAAACCTACGCTTCATATCTTCTTCCAAAACTTTAGGATTCGATAGAGATAAGTTATAACTTGTACAGGAAAAAATGGCAGATCCTACCTTAATTTAGAATCGCTGATTTCTCTGGACAAATTCCGAGAAGAAATTGTTCAACATCGCGATCACCCCAGACAACATGTCGCGTGCGTGTCACTCTGAACTCACGTGATAAAATACGGCATCTTGATTGGTTACTACTCGTGTTGTCATGACGTGAAAAGCAGTAGTAAACACTGAATATGTTAATGAACTGCCATATATGGAACAATTGTCTTTCTGATTGGTTAACTTTACACGCCTCCTAAATGAATATAGTAGTCGTAGTAAATGATTCATTGATAACTCTGAAAGTGGGCGTGACCAGCTTCATTTTGACACCAAATTCAAGATGTTTCAAATCAAAATGGCCTCGCAAGACGAGGTTGAAATATCAGTAATTTGATACTGATATGGTCTACGATAGATCAAAATTGACTGCCCCGCGTCACATGTCACGTGAGCCTATATTTGTTGAAAAATGAAAGAGATAGTGACACTTTTTAATCTTAAGTTTATACCAATATTACAAACACATATCTATTTTTTTCATTATATATTTATTTCTTCATAATACATACATTTGTTTTATACTACATTGATTTATTTTTGCAAAACCTTTGCTATTAGATCTTTAATAACCATGATAATATCATGACGTCACGTCATTGATACAAAGTAACCATGGGAACAAAGGCATGTAATACATCAGTTATGTCACTATGACGTGAAATATGCCTTCGTTCTTGCCCAAATATAGAGCCTCCCAAGGTCGGCCTATATTGGGAGAACTCAGGCATATTTCACGTCATAGTGACATAACCTCTAAGTAGTATGACACAGGCATGTCAACCCTCACGCATTAGGCGTGATTGTCACGCATTTGCTGGAAAAATAGAAATCACGCATCAATTTAGCGTGTATGATCAAATATCACGCAAATCACACATTTTGTTGATATTTTTAAAAATCGTTTTTTGTGAAATGCCGATACAGTAAAATACCGAACGGCGAAAAAAAGCGAACGCATTCCGTTCGGTCTTTGCACGCGATTGCGGTTTAAAGTGAAGTTGAGTTGAGTGAAGCAAAAAACGAGCATTTAGTGCTCATGGAAAATAATGTAAAAGACGTTTATTTAATAACCTAATCTTTTCCAATCTGCTGAAAAATATTCCTTGTAAATTATATTTATTAAAATGAATGCCAAGGCTCTATACCAGCGTAGATATGTTGGATTTTTAATGAGCTTGAGTTCACATTTCGATAAAATGAACAAGGGGCAATCAGGTTTGTTTATTGTGGTTTGATTTTCAAGGTAAGTGCTCTGGAGTGAATAATTCACATATATACAAATCTGTTTCAGGAGATACACTCTATTTAATTTGAAAATCTACCACTTATTTATTACATGGAACAAGGATGTCGATAGACATACAGTACTTGCATGGAATAAGTGAATAGCAAGCCCGGGGGTACATTCAGGTCAACAAGGATCTTCAAATGCTCACGATATGTGAAGGTCTGACTATTAGCTGTGACACAGTATGTAACCTACCCGAGATCGAACATATGCATTATTAGACTAAGATAGATCAGACAAAACATGCATACTAGACAAGGTTTCACTTTCTTTTTTCATTCATGTTTTTATCTTTCAAAATATTTTATTTGATTGTAAATACTTGTAAATTGCGATATAGAACCATGCATTCTCGCCAAATCTACACTACCTCTGTGAAATTTTAAGTTCCTATATACATAATATAGATTATACCTCGGCGACGTCGTCGTCAGACCCAGAATCATCACAAACTTCTGAAGTTTCCACTTTCTGAGATTTTTCACTGGCCATGTTTTCTTGTCAACTTCCGGTAAGTAGTGCTAATTGAAAAATTAATCCGCACTTTCATTTTCTGCTTTCTGCTTTCTTGGGCGATTACGCAATTGTTCTGTTTATCTCAGACTATAAGAATCAGACATCAGCATCAGACTGTAAGATTAAGAATCGCGATGTCTTTTTGATAACTGAAAGAATAATTCTAATTTTTAGGATTATATCTTGTGTGCAAAATGCGCGGATGTAGTGACACTTGGTGCGTTAGAAGTTTCCAAGTGTGGGAGATGTGAATTTAGGTTTTAGTCCAAAAGTTGTTGGAAACATTGACTGGTGCTGATATTTATCAAATATAGAGTCAAAACAGTTAGATAAAATGGCTAGGAATACATCACTCTACCTCCGACTTGGGGAAGGCAAAGATCTACCTGCAAAAGACATGTAAGTATTTACTTGGTTTTGTCATGGTTTTTGCAGACTGCATTTGTTTTCATCTAAAAAAGTTTCTCATTAGTATCCATTCACTTTTTGTGTTGAAACATATTCCCAGAAGTTAAGTTGCTAGTACAGTTAACCAATAGTCTTGTGCAAATAATGTCAAGTGTTGTTTTAGTGCTTACTCATACTCAAAATGTGCTTGTTGAACAAGCAGTCTTTTTAAAAAATCATATCTTCGTTATTTCAATGATGGAGAAATTTGTAGAATTTTTGTAGGGCCTCAATTAGTATTACTTGGCCTTTTTTCCGCGCACTGGACATTAATTTTTCCAAAATTTGAAATTTGCCCCCCCCCTTGTTAGCTCCTGGATCTGCCAGTAGGGGGAGAGGGCATATTAATTAAGGAAAGTTACAAAATATCTTATGCTCTATACAGCGTCTTTTTTTGAAGGGGTTTCACTTGACTCAAATATCAGAGTTTTAGGCTTTCACTTATTGTACATTTTATAAATAATTTGTAAGGGGGAGGGGTGGACTGGGAAGCCTGGGGGAGGAAAATGCATTTCTCGTTTTTAAGAAAACATGGCTGATTCATTTTAGAAAATAGGGTTCCAGTATTGAGATTGGGCCTACTTTTTCCCAAAATGTCATAATTTTTAAAAGGGCTGTATCAGTTTGCACAACAAACACATTCTTAACATAGAAAAGGATTAGTATGACCTGGATGTAATTTTATATTGAATACATAAAGCAGTTGAATATATTGAAATGTGCTTAGAATAACAGTCCTGATATAACCTTTGTTGAAGAAATCTCAACTAAGGACAGAACAATCTAATTTAAACCCCCTCCCCATCATCTATTTTTTATATGGGTTTTCAAAAGCAAGTCAATGTTAATTGTTAGTACCTAAGCTTATGGGCTTTAAATTTCTAAGTGATTGAACTACATTGAAACCTGTAACGTGGAACTTTCATCGGAGTCCAAGACCAAATGACATCATGTTAAATGAGCCTCTATACGTGGAATACCTCCCAAGTAGAACACTTTTCAGAGTCCTTGACCAAATGATATCAAATGAGCCTCTATAGTGGAATACCTCCCAAGTGGAACACTTTTCAGAGTCCTAGACCAAATGACATCAACTGAGCCTCTATAAATGGAATACCTCCCAAGTGGAACACCTTTCAGAGTCCTAGACCAAATGACATCATGTTAAATGAGCAGCTTTACGTGGAATACCTCCCTGAGTAGAACACTTTTCAGAGTCCTTGACCAAATGACATCAAATGAGCCTCTATAGTGGAATACCTTCCAAGTTGAACACTTTTCAGAGTCCTTGACCAAATGACATCATGTTAAATGAGCCTCTATCACTTTTCAGAGTCCTTGACCAAATGACATCAAATGAGCCTCTATAAATGGAATACCTCCCAAGTGGAACACCTTTCAGAGTCCTAGACCAAATGACATCATGTTGAATGAGCCTCTATAGTGGAATACCTTCCAAGTTGAACACTTTTCAGAGTCCTAGACCAAATGACATCATTTTAACTGAGCCTCTATAAATGGAATACCTACCACTTTTAGAGTCCCTAGATCAAATGACTGAAGTTAAAAGTGGACACATCCGAATATACCAAAGATGTTTCACTTCGACGGGTGACTTGATTTTACAGATTTACAGATTTTCTTGCATTTTCATATAATTTAGAGTGTCAGTTACATGTCTGCTTACTTTATTCCTTGCTTATTCCACTCTTTTTCACTTTGCATTTTGAATTGTGGGATACCTGGCCACTTTTTTAAATTCACGATTATCAAGCCATATCCTATATTCAATTTATAGGTAACTTAGAATTATCACCATGGAAACTACAGCACTTGGGTCTGTTAGGCTATAACTTAATTAAGAACTGTTGTAATGCTGTTACACTGGTTGTAAATATATTAAGGATGTATTATCGTTTATCATTTTGTGCTTAGCTTTGAATTATTAATAGCTAAATACAAGGCATTGTTATAAATGTCTCCATTAATCAGATTTAGGAGTGTCATAATTTACATGAGAAAAAGGACTTAGAAAAAAAAAGTCTGATGTGCCATGCATAAGTAAGAAACTTGAAACACCCTAGAATTGTCTAATGTCAATATTTTGATGCATTGTAAAAATAATAAAATCTTAACAATTATATTTGTCTCATGATAAATAAAATTATAATAAATAAAATTCTGACATCCAGAATTAAGAAAATTATGACACCAGGAAAAAAGAAAATTATGACATGTAGATTAAAGATAATTATGACACCTGATAAAATATGACATCCAGGATTAAACTATTTATTACATTCAATAACAATATGGTAAATAATAACATTTAAAAAAGGAAAAAATGACACCCAAAATAAATAATTATGACATTTAGAAAATTATGATATCCAAAATAGAGGATATTATGACATGCAAAATAGAGGAAATTATGACACCCATGATTAAATTATGACATCTGGTATGATCAGAAATATGTCATGTATAAAGAAATCAAAGATGAACAAATGATTCATTATAGTCAAAAACTCAAGAGCTGCACTTATCATTTATGTTCATAATAGGTTAGAGGGAACTGGGGTAAGAATAACTTGTATTGCACACTTACCACAAGGCATCATGTTTGGTACCAAATTAAAGCTGAGAATCCAGGCTTTCAGGTTCTGCTTGTCCTAATATAAAATTATGATATACCTTTTAAAGTAGATGTGTCTGTTGCTATGGTTACCATTTTATCATAAATGCCATTGTAATGTAGCCTCATTAACTGACTTTCTTTCAAAACACGAAATAAGATGATCAATTTATGCATTCATACTTCACAATTGGCTCAGAACTTGAAAAAATCTTTTGGAAAAAAGATCATTTTAACAACTTTGTGCAAACAGTCTTTTATATAACTGATTTATTTGACATTTTTGATACAATAGTATATAGAGAATGTCTAGCAATGATATCATAAAACAAATATTTCATTCTATGTTTGGACAATACCTGTTGCACTTTCAATGATTTTTGCAGCATGTATTTCCCTCACCCTTTAGGCTGTGGGCAATAAATACTTCAAAAATCATTGAAACATGAACAGGTATTACCCTCCAAGAATGAAATATTTGCTTAATATCCATGTTAACCTGCTAAAACATGTCATCTAATTACTTATCAGCCATGATGTATATATATTAAAGGCAATAGATACATATAACTCGGATTACAATCACACTTTGAGGAATTGGAACTGCCCCCCCCCCCCTCCCCATGCCTGTCAGAAGAGCCCAGATCAAAAAGTGTCATAGAATCAGAGCATGTTGCTAGCAAAGAGAAATATCTCAATGAATATCACTTGACATTTTCAGCAAAATATTGCTTCAAGAAAAATTGTAGATTTTTTCTCGACACTAAAGGTCAAGTTTTACATCATTAATTTGAAGAGTTTTAATTTCACGGTTTGTGCAAGAAGAGCCAATAGAAACAAATCATCTTGGCACAAATCGGATAAACAGATGCGTGTCAAATATATCCACGTAATCTTGTCATCACGATTTAATCATCCAGTGAACTTTTGATTCTTTGGGTTAATTGAGTGTGCTGGTTTAGACTCTAGCTGATGTTGTCAATGACTGTGTTGCATTTTTATTTTAGGGTGGGGGGGGGGTAAAATGCAAGTAACGAATTTGCAGATATTTTTTAGAAATTTGAGTGTGCTGGGTAGACTCTAGCTGATGTTTTTCATGACTGTGTTGTATTATAGGGTCTATGGGAGGTGGGGGTGGGGGTAAAATGCAAGTAACGACCATGCAAGATATTTTTTAGAAATTTGAGTGTGATGGTTTAGACTCTAGCTGATGTTGTTAATGGCTGTGTTATATTTTAGGGTCTATGGGAGATGGGGGGGGGGGTAAAATGCAAGTAACGACCATGCAAGATATTTTTTAGAAATTTGAGTGTGATGGTTTAGACTCTAGCTGATGTTGTCAATGACTGTGTTGCATTTTAGGGTCTAAAGAGGTGGGGGGGGGGGGTAAAATGCAAGTATGCATGATATTTTTGGAGATTTGAGTGTGCTGGCTTAGACTCAAGCTGATGTTGTCAATGACTGTGTTGCATTTTTATTTTAGGATGGGGGGGGGGGGTAAAATACAAGTAACATGCAAGATATTTTTTTGAGATATGGCACAAATCGGATAAACAGATGCGTGTCAAATATATCCACGTAATCTTGTCATCACGATTTAATCATCCAGTGAACTTTTGATTCTTTGGGTTAATTGAGTGTGCTGGTTTAGACTCTAGCTGATGTTGTCAATGACTGTGTTGCATTTTTATTTTAGGGTGGGGGGGGGGTAAAATGCAAGTAACGAATTTGCAGATATTTTTTAGAAATTTGAGTGTGCTGGGTAGACTCTAGCTGATGTTTTTCATGACTGTGTTGTATTATAGGGTCTATGGGAGGTGGGGGTGGGGGTAAAATGCAAGTAACGACCATGCAAGATATTTTTTAGAAATTTGAGTGTGATGGTTTAGACTCTAGCTGATGTTGTTAATGGCTGTGTTATATTTTAGGGTCTATGGGAGATGGGGGGGGGGGTAAAATGCAAGTAACGACCATGCAAGATATTTTTTAGAAATTTGAGTGTGATGGTTTAGACTCTAGCTGATGTTGTCAATGACTGTGTTGCATTTTAGGGTCTAAAGAGGTGGGGGGGGGGTAAAATGCAAGTATGCATGATATTTTTGGAGATTTGAGTGTGCTGGCTTAGACTCAAGCTGATGTTGTCAATGACTGTGTTGTATTTTAGGGTCTAAAGAGGGGGGGGGGTAAAATGCAAGTAACGACTATGCAAGATATTTTTTAGAAATTTGAGTGTGCTGGTTTAGACTCTAGCTGATGTTGTTAATGACTCTGTTGTATTTGAGGGTCTAAAGAGGGGGAGGGGGTAAAATGCAAGTAA